ACCGCCTTCTAGATCCTGCCTCTTTAAACTCTGAGAGGAGGGACCTGGGTAACCTCAACATCCCCTGGGACAAATGAACCAGCAAGACATTGAACTACTTTACCTTGAATGACACCATGAGCCACAATTGTGAGAGGGAGAAGAGTGATGACTACAGCGATGCAAAAGGCGCTAACTGGATAAATGATGATGAATAAGGTATCATATATAATGTTTCAATTCTTCATCATTTATTTCAAATGTTTCCTATTTTTACAAATATTTCTTCCAACAATCACTCTCATATTCTTCCATTTTTCCAGTTCTCTAGCAACGTCTATATATATTTCCGGTTATATATTTACATGTCACTTTTACTAGTGGAATGACAGTATCCTCTATCAGACAAATATTTCTGTTTACAGACTTTCCTTCTGCTCTTCTTATCCGAATAGATGATTTCTTTGGATTCCAAAATTCTGGAGAATTTTAGTTTGTGCATAGTCTAATTCGGAATTCTCAACATTCGCCCTTACATGGAGTATTGCTGCCATATATGGTCTGGAGCCGCTTCCGTTTGTCTCAAGATTCTTGATAAAAACCAGAGACGGATATGAAATGTAATTTGCCCTGATCTGATATCTCGTCTGCAGTCGATCTCCCACAGACGAGCTGTCGCCTCCCTCTGTCTTTTTTCTTACAAACACTTTCATGGTAACTGCTCCGAGGAGCTGCTTTCACTGGTTCACAGACTTCATGAATTTAAGCGTTCTACTAGGCTGGCATCTCGCTCTCACCCTTTCACTGTCGAAACTGTTAAATGTAGCTGTCTCTGCTACTCCGGTGGCTTCATGCCTCGCATCTCTCGCCTGTGGAACACCATCACCTTTTCCTGTTTCCCTGATAGCTATAATCTCCAACTATTCAAATGTAATGTCAATCGATCTATCCCCTACCCTTCTCTTCATCCTTTCCTCTATTACTCCTATTTGCTCTCTCTCTTCAACTCTCTGTAAACCCTTGCGTGCTAGTGGTTTCCCGTCTTGCTTGGTGTGAAACGCTTAAAAAACAAAATATCATCATCACCACATAATGCTTTTCCCTGTCTATCTTGGTCACAATATTTTCATTTTAATTCTTGCTTACTTCGTATGTAATACACGGCTACAAACAGATCATGTAACGATACCCGGATTTCTGTGTAGCAACTGAATATTTAAATAACCAAATCATAATGTATTAGACGCGAGAAAAATGTACGTTGGATTTTCTAATAACCATTTTTCTACTGGGTATTCAATTTTTACTTTTCAAAAAAAAAATATTAAGTAAAAAGAAGGCTGGAAATTGTAGATCAAACTAAAAACATGTTATTATACTAATGAGAACATATACCTTGTCAAATTTTTAATTGAAAAAATATGGAACAGATTTATGTATCTATGTATTAAATATCTACGTTTTAAAGTTAAAATATTAGAATATTTATTAATATTGGAAAACGAAAGTAATTTGTATTTCTACTGTGTATTTAAATTCTACTTTTAAAAAATGAGAACGCTGAGAAATGTTGTATAAACCTAAATGTAAAAAATGGCCAATATATTTTTTAAATAAAAAAAAGAAACTGTTTTCCAGAGTTTATTCCATCTGTAATTTTCGGAAATATAAAGAAAGAGAAAGCTGGCAATTTGTTCCTTAACTTAATAATTTGTTCTTAGACAAATATTAAGGGATTCTATTAAAATTAACACTCTTCTCTTCAAATGCCTATTTTAAGCACTATACATGACATCACAACAGCGAATATATTTTTTCTTTTGAAATATCCATGTATTTTTTTTTTCATTTTCTATTTCCTTGCATTTTCTCTGACCCACGATTTCTCTCGGATATAACCAATCTTTCATAAAATTTTCACGGATAATCCTCAAATCTCGTGATAGTAAAATCGACATAAACCTATTTCACGACGATTTCCTTTCATTCTGCTTTGAAAATTGTTATTGTCTTTGTTTTTGTTTCGTTGGAGACCATTATTTTAATCCGACAGGCTTACAGCTCTAAACATCAAGTAAGAGAAAGTCTTCTCAAAATTCACGCTCCGTAAACAGTCGCTTATATTTGTTAGTCGTTCAGGACTAATTTGATGTTTAAATTAGTTTAGTATTTTTTACCGTACATTCGGTATTTATTATTTTCTCTTTGATGTATTTTTCTAGTACAATGACAATAATATTATCATCTCCCTTCTAGAGTGTCAAGCGTAACCATTTCAGGTCGTTTTGCCAGCAGGTTTATTTTCAGGAATAGTTTCATAAATCCTTTGCATGGAGCCTTGGATGCTTGGTATCAGAGTAAGATTTGCAACCTAGAGTAGATTTGTCCTTTACGAAAACAAGGAACGAATATGAAATATTTGGACAGACTTGATATCACTTGATTTTTGAAATTCAGACCAACCAAGCTATAAGCACCCCCTCTTTTCCCGTACACGTCTCCCAGGCCCCGTTGGTCTAGTCTCGCTTTCTGAAAACGGGCAACTACTCAGTTAGAACCCCGCTTCTACCGATATCTCAATCCTTGCACGGCTATTGGACAAGAAGAATTATACAGCTTCGAAACTAGTTTAGGAATTGGTGCCAGCATATATAGATCGGCCATCGTACAGTCTTGGTTCTTCAAGTCTTATGATTCTTACTGACGAAGAAAGTTGTCCGTAGGAAACTTCTTGTTCACGACTGGTTTGACTGGAAATATGGTCAAGCTGTCGCCGAAGAAATAATAATGCTATCTATCTATCTATCTATAGATAGATAGATAGATAGATAGATAGATAGATAGATAGATAGATAGATCTGTTTTTTTAATATATTCTTTCTTATAAAGTATCTAAATTGATTTATTGCTATCATAATTGTAAGCATATTTTGGTATTTTTGAGTTGGAGCAATATTTTATATAATTAATAATCAAAAATATCGTTTTATAAAACTCCTTCTTCTCTTTTCCTTACTTTCATTTTAACACTTCATCTTTCTTCCACCCTCAAATTGAGGTCTTAAGGTTAATATCTGGTTTGAATTTCCGGATCTTCTTTCATTTTAAGACAGATAACTTCCGCCCTCCACTTACCACTCTGGCAGTCTACCCTGCGAGGTTTCGATTTGGGTAGACTCTGTATCAATTTTTCAACTGCTTTCTTTATTAAATTTTAAATCTCTAGTTCCGATACTAATACAGTCCATCCGTCTGGGATAAATAAGGCAGCCGTACTCTGTGTCAGTTGAAATAAACTATACCCATGAGATAATTTGTGATTTCACTGTTATGTAATTTATATATTCTGTTACAATAAATGCATTGAGCTCTTTTTGTGGATCAGTCTTAATATTTCATATTATTAGAACACACTTGAATTATAATATACGAACGGATTTTTACTTGTGCTATATATATATATATATATATATATTCGCGAAAAGATCTGGTTGAACAGGTCCGCAATTTAGGAGATAATATATATCGTTCAAAGGCCTTAAAAATGATTTGTCAAAAATCCAATCATTATTGAAATGGCTGGAGCATAGTATAAGACTTATTCTTTATTCATTGCTACATGAATAGGTAATTTATAGAACAAATGATTTCCAAAAATGCTGAATCAATCTTTGGTTTGGTTAACACGGTAATGGTCAAAATGGGTTTATATTGAGAAACGGTTGAAGGAATGTCTTTCCTGAGAATAATGATGTAAATATTACTGGATGGCAGTTTTTCATCGCGAAGAAATTGTGGATATCTATGAAAAATTGTCTTCATTAATATCTGAAGAAGATTAGTCTTTATTGAAACACATTTTAATAAACTTGAAGTGCAATTGAAAAACAACAATATTCAGGTTCTTACATGTAATACGAAGGTGCTTAATGCATGCAGACTTGAGTTTATATATATATATATATATATATATATATATAATGAAATGAATTACGTACGACAAATATTTAATATATTTTCTGTTCATACGTTATTTTCATAGATACAATTTATTTAAGTAAATGCTCTGTTGTTAATTAAAGAAGATTAATTACATTTACTGACACACATTTTCGAGGAAATATGCGTTTTTTAACAGGAATCGAACCTGTGTCCTTTATATATATATATATATATATATATATATATATATATATATATATATATATATATATATATATGTATGTATGTGTGTGTGTGTGCGTGTGTGTGTGTGTATTAAATAATCTCTCCTCTAGTAAAACCATCTTTAACCAAACCGTTTAAATGTGTCAACGTCTGGAGCTCCTCAAGTAATTTTAAGTATGAAAGAATAGAAATATTAAATTACATCTAACTCACTCATGTCTTCTTTCCCCTCTCCTCACTTCCTCACTTCGTTAATTTACATAATGTTTAATACGGCCCGTCAAAAATGTGTAAATTTCTTTGTGCTTTTTCTTTCCAGCATGCTTCATTGAGAACAGTTTACAAGGAAAATTTAATTAATCTTTTATTGAGTTTTTCCAGCATTCTAAAATCTTTCCGTTTTTTCAGGGGTTAAATAATATGGGAATTGTCGATATTTATAATTGTTCTGAGTGCCCTATATTATTTAACCCCCTGAAAAAAACGGAAAAGATTTAGAATGCTGGAAAAAGCTCAATCAAATATATATATATATATATATATATATATATATATATATATATATATATATATATATATATATATATATATATATATATGTGTGTGTGTGTGTGTGTGTGTGTGTGTGTATATATATATATATGTGTGTAATTTATATATATATATATCATATATATATATATAGATATATTATATATAGATATATTATATATATATGTGTGTGTGCGTGTGTGCGTGTGTATGTGTGCTTGTGTGTGTATGTGTGAAAGTGTCTATGTGTGTGATTAAATAGATTCCAGCCGTGTATTTCAATCATTTTGACACTAGTCAGCGTGAGAATTGTATCGATCAAAATGCTGCAATCTGTCCTAAGCCAACCATATGGATGATAGCACATTAACTGCGGGAAACATAGTCTAAATTTATTTTATTCCCCACAATTACATACGCAAAAACTACTTCTATATCCAGCATCAGCCTTGGTATTTTTTTTTCTTCCAGGACTTAAAACCATCATGACTTTCCACAGAGTCTTCTGTTTTTACCTGAGTAGCCAAGTATTTTTCGGAAATATATTGGTATTGTTACCCGTTGCTTTCTCCTCGGTTTCAAATTAATTTTTTTTTTCGTTAGTTAGACTGGTTACAAAGCATGACTAGAGTCCAATTTACTCTGCTATGTAACATAGGTGAAGGGAGAAATGATAGATTCTTGTAGACATTGTTATATCGTAAGAAAACTGAAATTGTTTTGTGTCCATTGAAAATTGTAGTTTAGAATAAAATAACAGTAATTTTTGTAATCACCTGTTTCATGTTATTCACTACTTTTGGATATTTGAACAATTGCTTAATATCGTCACTGTTACTATTTGTTACTAGCAGAAACTGTAGTATATGACGATCAAGGTATTTCATTAGTAAATAATATTACATTATTTTAAATCTTCACTGATATATTGTATATTTGAACAGTTAGAGAATGACATCTTAATTTTTATTAGAGTTACCAATAGGAAATAATATATAAGTCTACTTATTTAAGATTATTAAACTATAAATAATAACGCTAATATGGATCCTCTATACAACATATGATTAATTTTTGCATTATGAGTGTATTTTGGAACAGATGAGATACTATGCGAGATGCAATATTTAGCTTCAAATGCTATTTTTATTAAACATATTTAATAAAAATGTAAACAACTTCGTCAGAAGTACGACACGTGATTTCATATTCTGTACATTGTTCAGGTACTCATAAATAGTTTATACTTTATACTTTATAGCTATGTATTACCAGACTGAGCACTATTTTGTTAAAACCAAACATTAAATAAAATATTTATTTGTCAATTTATATATGCGCGTGATCGCACGAATCTATGGTTGATTTATCTATATATTTAATTCATCCTTCTACCTACACAGGCTCTCCTACCACCATAATATGATTCTAGTAAGGGTGTCAACTTCTTCTCCCCTTTCCTCCCAATAAAGTCCCTTATAACATACTCGCTCTCTCTTTCTTTCTCCAAATATACAGTACACTAAAAACTGATAAAATAAACAGTTTGAAAAACCCTGCGAAAAACAGTATAAAGATATCATTCTCTAAAGACTTCCAGTTGCTAAGGACATTTTGTTATCATTAGTTAGTTTGTTTAAATAAATTCCTTTCGCTTTTTGCCTTCAGAAAGAACACAATGGACGAAACGCGTCGGCAATTATTACAGTTTTCCTATTGTCTTGTACTAATATTCCATGGTCATAATTTATTCCATTGGAATCGTAAATACGATCCAATTCATCAGACCTACAAATTCAAAAAGAAAACAGAAAAAACAACTCCGGAAATAAAAAAAATGGAATTTAGAGAGTGTGTAAGTATGAGAGTGTGGGACGAATGTTAGAGCTAAAGAGAGGGGTAACAGACGAGAGAAGGTGGGAAGTTAAAACTTAACAGAGAGAAGTTTTAGAGAGGTGAGTTAAAGACGGTTTAAGTGAGAGAAATATGAATGTTGTTGGATGTCTAATACATTAAGGATGTCATCGGAAAGGATACATTTTGTGGTAACATACACACACAAAAGACGGTCTAATCTTATATATATATATATATATATATATATATATATATATATATATATATATACAAAATTTACGTTTTAGTCACAATACCACAGACATAGTTTTAAAGCTAAAACGATGCGGGAAACCCATAGTTTCATGGAAAACTTAAATAATCCCAATATGAAGCGATAGCAACAAGGAAATGTTTCACAAGATAAACATATTTATATGTCACCATCCGATTCCTGTCTGAAGAGATTTTGCTTTTCGTAAATAATATTCCTTACTTGAATCACCTATTAAGTATTTATCACAAAGCCTTTCAATAAGTTCGATCCACACTGAATCCCGTATGAAAGAAGATTACTAAATGAAGAATACTTCGTCGTAATTATTAATGTGACAATTTCACAGGAATTTATTACAATACGTCTTTCGCTCGTAAACGCAATTCTGTTTGTAGTGTCTCCTCTTGGATCAAAACTTGTTTTCGTTTAGTATGCTGCTTGTTGGTTAATTATTTTAGCTGGGTTTTTCCAAAAATAAACTCGTCGTGTAAAAATCGCGAACGACGAAAAACAGTTCGATGATTCATTCCGTTTATTGATGAGATTGAAAAATGAGACGAACGATTTGCAAACAGACGTTGGTAAATGAAGAACGCGAACAGATTTAAATTGGATTCCCTCTTTGATGCACTGAACGAAATGGAATACCGCTATCTGTAAAATGGTTAATTTTTATGGTGTTCGAACTCCCTACGCCTGCTTGTTTAATTAAGTCCTAAATCACAGCTCCCAGCCAAGCCAAAGTAAAATATTTTATCAATATTGTTGAGAGAGTAATAACTTTAAATAATAGTTTCAGAATATTATTTTTTAGTGGCAGTTTATTTTGTCTCAGATCATCTGAGGCTGAACTTTAAGGCCAGATGGTAGAAAAAATAGGGATGTCGATTTTGATTGGCTGAGTCGAACGTGGGAATGTTAGAGTGGTAGAAAGTGATTTCAATGAGTTATAGTTTTACACATCATATGCATTAGACGTGGTTATTTCGTGTCTCAGGTAACTTGCTTCCCAGTAGGGGCTATAAAGAGACCCTATTGGCTAGTTAAATATGTACACGTCAACAGATAATTTTCAAATTCTCTTTGTTGATGTCTCTTTTATCTCCGAACCTAATACGACTTTGACACCTGGCTTGAAGAAGACGACCAACAGAAAATACAACACTATGGAATTGATCCCTGTCTACAAAAATGTCCCCCTTCCAACAAGGGAGGATGGACAACAAAGTGTGTTAAATGCATTAAGCTGTCCTAAAACGTTGTTATTCTACGGACAGTATATTTAATTAACATAATCATATATTGCTCGTTTTATTTAAAAACTATATCTGGATTTTTAAAACCCGTAAATCATGTTTAGTTCATTGAGTCAACACATGTATTGAAGCCTTAGAATTAATATTAGCAGTGGGTTTATCTAGAAAAATATTTTCTGAGGTGGGGGGAGGCACGTTTTTCTTCGGGTTGGGTTTGTATTCAGAGCAAACGTTTACTTATACAGGTTGCTCATGAAATGTTGAAAAACTCTTTCAACGACACTATTGCATCCATAGCTAAAAAATAAGGAGACGTACTGAAGTGTTTTAGTGTTCACTAAGTACATTTAAAAAAATGATTAACTCCACTCTCGATTGTTACATACGTAAGAAAAGATGCTTAGTTTAACTGATGTTATCTTTAATTGAACGTCAAAATAAGCTAGCCTTATGTCAAACTGACCCAAACTTGATTTAACACTGTTTCGTAGCGATTTCATTATTCAAATTAAAAAAGATTGGAATGCCTAAATACTACATCTTTTGGTGCAATAGTAACAAGGATACAGAAAGAATATCCAAATTCCGAACTTGCATCATTGGAAAGAAGAAACAAAACCATCCGCAGATAAGTTAAGAATGAGACCGCGGTATATGGGCAAGACACATCGCATTAAATCAAATCCCAATTCAGTGTTGTTATCGCTCAGTCTATCAGCCAGCATATTCTGCTGCGTACACTGGATTACATAAGGTTTCATAGACAAATAAATTTACTCTTAGGAACAGCAAATGATGCAGTGATATCAATATCACTGCATCATTTGCTGTTCTTAGCCTAAGCCATAGAACATCGCCAATAGGTCGTGATTTCACAAAAGAGACCTCGTGTTTTTCTTCTTTTTTTTTTTTTCATCATTATGTTTATTTCACTACAGGCAAACCGATAATGACACTAAGACTTAAGTTTTACTGAGAGTGAAAGAAAATGAGAAAAATTTAGCGAGGAGAAAGGACAATAAAAAAACAGGTTTCAGAGAGAAAGAATATAGCGATTGGCATTACATTTGATTTTTGAAGATTTTTGGTAACAGGGAAGCAATGTACCGGAAGAGACGATAAGTGCGAAAAAAAGAAACTATTAAAACATAATTTACGGTTACTAATTCCTACAGCAAAACAATGAAGCCTAGTAGACATTGTAGTAGTGCCCTTAAAGTACCAATGTGATCTCAGTAGAACATCTTCCATGAAAATATTTATAGAAAGAATGGAGCCACGTTACGGCGGTGGGAAAGTGACTGAAATCGAGATGCCGGATCAGGGACGATTTTTCAGGCCTTCAAGGCAGGCATTCAACTGAATGTATGGAGGATGTGACATAAAAATATGTGGTCCTGTCTGTCAGTAAACTGTTGTGTAAGCTAGTGGTGGATCCGTTGTGGTGGGAATTATGTGCTGTTAGAATTTCAAATTTAAAATGCTAGAAAAGAGGTTGGATTATTCTATCGTTCCCTGAAGTACTCATCTCTTTATGCCATACATTATCTTCGTATGAGTCAGATTAAATGGAACATTGCAGCCACATCCTCGATTTCCAGACTTCATGGCTTTCAAAATATGTCACGTGGCCATGTAGGGAAAACATATCCTCTACTCTGTAGTCCATTACTAACAGATGCAACGTTACAGGCAGATCGATACTATGATAATTTCAACGGCAAAATTTTAGAAAAGCTCCACTCTTAGTGCCAACAGTTAAAACGTTTACCCCTACGAAACGCCATACAGCTTCCAGCGAACTGAATCGTCACCATTTCCTCTGTATTCTGAATATAATCATCAAATTATAATACTTCTTTTCCCTCAAGGACTACCAATTTTTGGAACAGAGTCCCTGAGCTGTAAATGCCTTCAAATCACGACTCAGTCATTATCTATCCTGCTTAACCTCATAATGTTATCCTTTTACCACCTCCCCTTCCACCAGTATAAAACACCTCATTTTTACTAACAATTTTAAATTAATGCTCAACATTGAGTTGTCTTTGCGGATTGTACTGAGTAGATTTGTATTGAGTAGAATTGAGTATTAAAAATATGAATCAATGAATTTCGTCTCAGTCTTGATATATTCAGTTATTGCAATCCGTTTACGGTCTTCTTGTTTATAAGTTGTAATGTTTCTTTTCCTTGACAAATAATACGACAGAAAAACACTTGGTTCACACAACAAAACTTCATCTAAATGTTCAATTAGCCTCTTTACTTTTTTCACCAATGAGAATTATGTGGGAAGTGTATCCTTAAAACTCATTGAAACAAAAAACATAAGATAAATCTCTGCGATGAAATATAGCTGGATAGACTGTTCCAGGCAAAGGCTTCAGAACATTGTAGAACATTGAATTCAACATCGTCGGGTCAAAGTATGATCTACACATTATCAAATGTGTGTTTGCTTTAGTCGTTGAGCTAAGTCTGGCACAAGGACAAATCAGAACGGAATTAGGAACATTTTTACATGATATTTACAATCAGACAGTGATTAAATTAATATATATATTGTATATATTGTATATTGTATATACATATATATATTGTATATATAGATATATATATATATATATATATATATATATATATATATATAAAATATATAATAATAGTGGTAAATATACACTACACATACATATGCAAAATATATAAATATATATACATAGATGTATATATATTTATATTTTTATGTATATGTATATATATATAATAATAGTGGTAAATATACACATCCATATGCAAAATATATAAATATATATACATATGTATATATATTTATATATTTTATATGTATGTATATATTACTATATATATATATATATAATAGTAAATATACACATACATATATATAATATATAAATATATATACATATTTGCATATATATTTATATATTTACATATATATATATATATATATATATACATATGCAAAATATATAAATATATATACATAGATGCATACACATACATATATATTTTTTGAATAAAAATTCCAAGAGGATAGAATCCAGGTAGAACTCAATGTCCAGGACAGAGTAAGGATATAATAAAAGGCTAAATACTAATATTCCATGGTCATAATTTATTCCATTGGTATCGTAAATACGATCCAATTCATCAGACCTACACTCTCTCTGTAAATTCTATTTTTATTTCCGGAGTTGTTTTTTTCTATTTTCATTTTGAATTTTTAGGTCTGATGAATTGGATCGTATTTTACGATTCCAATGGAATAAATTATGACCATGGAATATTAGTGTTTAAGCCTTTTTATATTATATATATATATATATATATATATATATATATATATATATATATATATATATATATTTGTGTTCTAAAAAAGGCCAGTTATACAAGCGGTAAATAAATACCAATCTCATTTGCGTGATAAATCTTTTCGGAGGTGTGTATGTGTGTATGTGCGCGTGTGCGCGTGCGTTTCTCCTATCTTACGTATGTTAGTTACGATTGTTCAATTTTTATATTTCCATTACCTCGAAGAACTAAACGTAAACTGCGACCAACAGCAACAGAGAAAACGGTGAACTGACATGATGACTCTAAAGACAGATGCACTACAATCTTCATCAATGATCAGAATATTAAATTATGCATCGCACATGTAGATATTCTTTCTTTGCCTTCCATTTGGGGATGCTTCTGCTTTCCTTCTTTTTTTTTCTTTCTTTCTTTCGTTCCTTCTTCCTTTCTTTATCACTCTCTTTCTTTTTTTAACTTGACAATATTGTTTGTAATCACTTGCCTTTTCTGTTTTCTTATCCTACTTCCGTTATTTTTTAACCGTCATTATGTCGTCAGTATTCTTTGTTTTCAATTCTTTCTTTCTTTCATTCATTTTCCTTTCTTTCTTTCTTTCTTTCTTTTATTTTCCTTTCTTTCTTTCTTTTTCCCATTCATTCATTTTTCTTTCTTTTTTTCTTCTTACTGTCTTTCTTTTATAATTTCTGTCTTTCATTTTCCTTTCTTTCGTTTTTCTTTCTCTATTTTCTTCGTTTTTCGCTATCTCGACACGTTCACTTAATATCTTCTTGCTGACCAATCATTGGTCTTTTCTGTCTTATTTTATCCGACCGCCATTCTTTTGTTCATCCAATTTCATTATGTTGGCAGTAAACTCATTTCTTTCTTTGTCAGTCAATCACCTTCTTTCTTTCTTTCTTTCTTTCTTTCTTTCTTTCTTTCTTTCTTTCGTTCGTTC